CTAAAGAATATTTGCCTAATTGAAATTATCATTTTAAATGATTCCTAATTGAACCGTGTCTACTCTCCTCAATGCACTGTACTATTAAATATAAAAATAAAAATAAATTAAAACAGATTGTTTAAAAAATACAAAAGTTGGTTGTATCAAAATTAAATAATATATTGATACATTGATATAATGCAATAACTATACTATAATTTACCTAAGTAAAGTATTGATGTTGTTCCAAACATTGGATAAAGAAACATCGGTTTTAACCAAAGCATAAACTAAGCCACCATCAAAATGAGCCATATTGACACCAAATGATAGAATTTCTACTAGTGTCTCCAGTTGTGTGCTGTTTTCACATTCAATTAACATTGTTGCTATGTATGGTAACAAACACTCTTGGTCTCTAATCGCTAAAATAAAATAAATTTTAATGTTAAGTACAATTATTTTAAATTATTTTAAAACTACTAACCAATACAACTTAAGAGTCTTGCAGCTGGCTGAGCAACATCTACATTTGTTGATAATAAATATAGTTTGATTGTATGTAAGTTTGTTACAAGTGCTTTAACTATGGGAGGGGTAGTGCGGTTTGTTCTCAGTGAATATTCAAGTTCAGCAAGAAACAATTCTTTATATAAAATACAAATTATGATTAGAATTAATTAACTAATAATATAATATTAATTATCAATACCAAATAATGTCTGAGCACCAGTTTTTAGAGTCTTAAATTTAGGATCTTCACAATCAATTAATTGAAATATTAGATTTAACACATGCTTGATTCCTCGATCAGCATTTAACAATACTTGTACCATAATATCCAACAAACTGCATTGTTCATCAAAATATTTTTTCCACTGTGGATATAATGGTAATAATTTGTTCAGTACTTCTGGAGTGACTGAAACAATTCATTGAATACATAATAATCAATCATAGTAGAATGATTCAAAAGACATAAAAGTATTATATAATTAAAACAGATTAAACAAAAAATTTTATTTTAAGCACTATTTTACTAACAATAATGTATTTTGATAATTTTGTTATCATACATAAACCATAAAATACTTTTTTTTTTATGTATAATAATAAACACTTACCTTGCGTTAAATTTTCACATAACATTGACTTGAGTAACGTTGAGGAGCACATAGCCATGTGTAAAAGAAAAGGAACTATAGCAACATTTTCAACAGTCATCTTTTGGTGTTCTTCACTAAGACTTAACTATATTCAAAAATCAATTATTGTTTAAATTGTTTTGGTATTAAAATGTAATAATCTATGATGTTGACAAACCTTAAATAATTTGAACACAACATCTTTTATGTTGTTAAAGTATGTTATCGAAAGGTGATCAAGAATTCTAATAAAAGAATTTAGCTTCTCAGTCTAAAAAAAAAATGTATTCATTTAATATAATAATTACATATCAATTACATTAAAATAGTATATTAAAGTTAATAAATTTACATGTTTAAATTTTTTAGTAGAACACATTTCTTTTATGCCACACAGTAACATATCCATAATGACTAATGACGGGAAACTATCACCAATTTGAGCTAATACCCATTCAAAACTTGAACTTTTGTACCCTAACATGGTTTCTAAAAACAAAAATGTATTACATTTTGAATTTTTCATCATAAGAATAATTTTTATGTTAAAAAAACATTTTATAAATGCTTACCAATCATGGAATCAACTGATCGTTCTCCTTCTGCTTTCATCATTTTAGCAATTGTTTTGTTATTAATATCTACTAGAATATAAGCAACTGAACACTGAGACCAAAATCGAAGCATATCACCTAAAGGCATTCTAGCAAATTCATGCATATTATAGTGTTTGGATATTTTTCCTAAATAATTATAATAACATTTTATTATTTTGAGTTAATAAACAAAATTATTTTATCAATTGAATATCATGTATTTTATGCTTACCTAACAACTTATAAGACCAATGTAGTACAACGGGAGCCCAAACCAAATGATCTTCTTCAACTAGCCTCAAAAGAACGTCTCTTATATTGGTTACATTTTCAATGATTTCAGGTGGTATGATTGGAGGATCAAGCCGTGATGATGTACTTGATGATTCAACCCATGATGGCTGTATAAAAATATTTTATGACAAAAGCAATTTGTAAATGTATATGTATATATATATATTTAATAATAACTGTTGTTTTAAACAATTATACTTCACTATTATTTACAATTAACATAAATATAATACCTGAACTTTAAGTTGTTTCAAATATGTAGAAATAGCATAATCAAAAAACTTTCCATAATACTCAAAAACAGCATCCTGTGCAGCTGGCAGTAATTTAAGTAATTCCATTGCACAAGTAATTTGAGAAGTTTGAACATTGATGAAAGGTTGTTTTGTTTCACTAAGAAACACTGCTAATTTAGCAAATTGATCTTCTTGATGTTTCTTCATTTCCATCATGATCTAATAATATATGAAATAAAAGGGACTTCAAAATATAATAAGAACGAAATATCGTACAATTTGAGTTCACCACAAAATTTCATTAATAATTATTGATATAGTTATAGTATCTATATATATGTGAAGAAATGGCGTTAGTAAACATTTTAATATTTAAACAAATAAAAGAACTTAATTTACCGCTTTAATCTATATTGTGCTAGAGCATTACAATCTATAAGTCTTGATAATTAAATTATGATATATATCTGTAAATATTAATTATTATTTATTAACTACTAGACATTTACAATAATAGTATTAGTATATACTATATTGATAAATAAAATGTTATTTTGTTTTAAAATTTAAATATGTACTTATAATTTTTAAGTTCGAACTACAAGTTTTGTTAGTTTTGATAACAGATATCGGAAATTTTGGAACTAAACCTTTTGTTCCATAAAATAGTTATTCTAAAGTCAACTAGTTTAAATCGAAATAATTTCCAAACATACATTTGTTCCAACGTTTATTTGTTCGAAACAAACTGATTGTTCCACAGTTTATTTATTACAATGTAGGTTTATGCCGAATAGATTTTATTATTTTTTTTAATAACTATTAATTATTAAATAATAATATATCTTTTAAGTTTAGACTTTGAAAAATCTGTTCTTTGGAATTGCGATTAAAGATTTACCTTTTTTTTGTAAAGGTGTATCTTTAATCGTGTTTAGAATAAATATAAATAATTAGATGTTTAGAACAATAAATTATAGTTATAAAAAATAACTTAGAATAATGATTTACCGTAATATTATGTTAAGTTCGAGTATCGGAATCAATCCCCAGATGAAAAAGTTCTTGATCAATAAAATAAACCGTTTCGGTTTGAGTAAAAGGGGCATCACGTGTAGTCGTGTAGATGTATTAAAACAAAAAGAACCTGTCAGCTATTTTAATAAAACTTAAATTGCTTAACAGACTATATTACTACTATAGTTATAATAGGTAGTATGTAATATAGGTACATATCCACTAAGAGAGTAAAGCGTTTTTTTTTTTTTAATATCAGAAATAAATCGGTTTATTTTTTGTTATCCCGTTTACAACTTGAAAATCAATACATTTTTTTCAAATTTCAATTCCTATTAGTTCTATTTTATTATATAGGTACCAATTTATCAGTTCGTTTATCGTGTATCTCATCATTTGTTCGCATTATTTCTAATATTTTATAACTGATTTGCCCAACAGGCTGTAATGTAGATTACTGATTAAGTTCGTAAAACCATTGATTAAATATACAATTTAATATTTAATCAATGGTAAAACTATCAAACTATCAATTCAAATCTAAGTGATTATAAATTAGTTAATAGTTATTGTCCATGTTGATTAAAATCCTTTAAAAATCTTACACAATATGTATATAATTATCTTAAGTCTTTATACACATTTATTACAAGAATAAATAAAATTTTTAAGTAGTATGTAGTATACAAGACGTATAGAATCGATTTACTTCGTTTCTAAATCTAAACCAGTCTTGTAAAGTATTCGAATAACTAATAAGCGTATTCAAATAGTTTTATTTGAATACTTTTTTTGTATTCGAAATTATTGTTTGTATCAATTATTATCTACATAATTGCTGATTCCAACTATTCCAAAATCGACAAAAACTAGCAGAAAAAAGTATTCTTATATTATTCGAGTACTTTTTCAAATATTATTATATACTTTAACTCTCATTTATTCAAATACGTACTTCAAGAACAAAATAAAAGTATTCTTTATAAGACTGACCTATACGCCGTACTAAATGTGGACATGTGGTGTATGGGGGAAAAGACCAGAGGGAACCGAAAACTTTCAGTTTTGATTAAAAAATAATAATACTTTAAATGTTATATTGTATATTTATACAGGACATAAGCCATAAGAAAGGTATTGTGTGTGTAGTGTATACTGTGTTTAACATAATATTATTATCATTATTCTATGAACATGTTACATGATGTAAGAGAAATGCAAGAAAAATATTCTGGTTATATAATTATACTGGGCTCAAGTATTCAAATTATACATAATACTTACATTTTAATTGTACACTTTGGAATGAAATGTGCAATTATTTTGCTTGCATATTTTAATAAATATTTATTCTAGACCACTTGCCCCAAAAGATTTCGAAAAACTTGCATAAATATTGATTCATCTAGTAAAACGAAACATGTGTCTATCCCAATAAACCACCGTTATGGGAATGCTTATAATAAATCATTCAGCATTTATGTTTATAATGTGAATTTTTAACTTTAAAATTGTTTGATGTAATTTGAAAATGTAGCACGCACAAGATAAAAAAAACTTGCAAGTCAACTATAACATATAATTATTTAAATACCTCAGCAGTGGATAGGTATCTTTTTAAGTTATAATATTTTTTTAATCAAAATTACTAATTAACACTGTACTATAATTTATAATTGGGAACGATGGGTATATAGTAAATGGTATAAAAAATTAAACTATATAACCAATTAAAATATAAAATAAATATTATTTTTAATAATACAATTTAATTATTAACATCATTTTCAGTTTTGTAAACTTCTTTTACCCATCATAATTTACTGACCATAACGGAGGTAAATGTTTTGGTTTCATTGTATCAAGGAAATGCTGTCTCCACATTGCTTTTAATTCATTTATTGCATCTCGTTCCAAAAAATGTTTTACTACTTTTTCTGCAGCACTATTATGTTGGCAGTCATTTTCATACCTTTAACAGCATAAATTTAATAAGTATTTATGAAATTTACACATATGTAAATATATACATTTAGTTTAATTTATCAAAACTTTAGTTCTTAATATAATAGAATTTATTAAATATTTAAATTATTCTAAAACTGACTTTAAGGATTTGATGGTGAGTAAAGTTTCAAGAAATGCATCAAACACTCGATTTGGTTCCATATTATACGTTTCTGCAATTTCTAGTCTTAATTCATTTGCTACTTTATCTGGTAATGAATGACGAGATTTTAAAAGAGTTTTAGCAAGACTTTTTGATCTCATTATTTTCACGTATGCTGGAATCTAAAATAAATAAGAATATTAAGTTTCAAATATTTTTTAGTATTTAAAATAAAATTTTGGTTTAATAAAATTACTTTTTGGTTTTCATTAGGATTTATTTCTTCTATTTGACACATATTAAATATTTTTTTACGTATTATGAAATCAAAAGAATTTGATTTAATATGACACCAATAACACAATAACAATGTATCGTGAGGTATATGACTTTTGTGTTCAGCTAAAATGAAAATTTACTCATTTCAGGTTTAAAACTGAAAATAAAATTTAAAAATGTTACATACTTGGCATAAATCGAACAAATTCTTTTGGTATGATACTTTTTTTACGGAAATGTTCAGAACGACCACAAACTGTGCAAATATTTTCTCGAGGAAGAACAGAAAAATTGTCTTTTCTATTTTTCAAGTCAGCTGGGAAGTTGAGTCGTATAGTTTTGGGATCATCATTAACCAATTTGGCTAAACCTTGAGATATATACCTATATATAATAATACAAAATATATAAATATTTACTGTAAACAATGGCTTCTTATAATAATTTCTGCTATACTTAACCAATCAACTTTTTTATGACTACAAGTTGACATCACAGTTCCATCTACATTTTCCATCAAGCAATTATCATACACTTTAGCAGATTTTATTGTTGAAGTTGAGTATGAACGAACATTAGATTTTGGTTTAAATTTAGTGTTTCCATTAGTTCGAACATTTTGATAAGGTAGATCTTTATAATTTGAGTATATTTTAATAACCATATCCCATTTTTGTTTGTCTGATAAAAATAACCAGTTCCACCATGACATCTATTTAAAATGATCATTCATACATTGATTTAAATATTGTTCAGAATAATTTACTTTATTATTTCTCAGTTGCTCAAAAATTTTGACAGCTACATAAGCATCTAATGCAGCATATTCAGTTTGTCGATCATTCAATTCTTCAGCTTCCCAATCACTTGTTCGAATATGCCAATCCTTATCTAATTTACATCCAAGCAATTTATCCGCAAGAGCTGACAAACTTCTTTCTTCTAAACAACATTCTTTAGCTAAATATCTTAGATCAATGCATCCAGATACATTGATATTATAATCACTCATTAGTAAATGAGCATCATCCAAAATAGCAACACCAACTTTAATTATATTAGAGTTGCTCAAAATGTCCTGAGTATTTAATAAAAATAGTCAATTAGGTATAATGAAAAATATAGATTTTACTGTGCAGTAATATACCTACAGATAAAGATGATGGAATAGTCTTAAACTTAGACAATCTAATCAATGAACACATTCCATTGGTGTCAGAAATTTGTAATAATGCCACAGGATGACGAAATCCATTTTGTGTCACCCACTCACAATCTAGTCCAAGAATTGGCAAGTAAGTAGTTGATCTATAATTATGAGTATTTTTAATAAATAGCTACCATAATTAGTTAGATTAATGTTAAAACTTACCTTTCAAATCTGACTGCTATCTGTTCACATTGTTCAACTGTATCCACAACATCAATTTGTCGAGCTCGTAATTTCATATATAATCTAAGTAATGGTACTTTGGTAACTAATTTGATCATTATTAATTTAATTACAGAATTTAAGAACATTTTCATCGTTAAATAGCCATTAAAATTTGAATTTTAAAAGTTAGTTGATTAAGATTTGCTTTGCAGATGGCTGAAGCCAATTGATAAATATATATTATAAAAAAGTAGCATGAGCTCTGAAATCAGAGTAGTGAATACCCATATCAACCATTAATATTCTTATTTTTAACGGTTATCATAGAAATGTTAAGTGTTGTGATAGAATAAATACAACTTGATAGTGTCAATAGCATGATAATAATTTTACATTACGTAGGTAGCCAATAGTCAATAGTCATCACAGAGTACAGATTAACATGGAAGATTATTGTTACTGATATTCAAAATATATTTAATTCATCATTGTTGTAAATTACAATAATTATAGTATTTTATTTTTTATTTTACTCTTTGGACTATGAAATAAGGTCAGATTTAGCGAGGAACTAAGTGAACTACAGCCCTGAGGCCCCACATTTTTGAAGATTACATTGAAAAAATATATGCAATATGGAACTTTAGTTTTGTATTTAAAATTAAATTTTTAACAAAAAAAAAAAAGTTATATTTGTACTTTAGGTACGTATTAACGTATATTATAATATCTGTCCAAATAAATGAGCGATTAATCTACATTGTAAAAAAAGTTTTCGTGCTGTTATCTAGACGCAATTGAGGAGTATATAATAGGTACGTTAAATTATTATCGACAACGAACGAAAAATTCCTCATTGAAAACAATTAGATTAGTTTAGATTTTAAACTTGGATAAACGATTGCCTAACTCTGAAATGGTAAACAAGCGATTTGGTTTTCTTGAAAAATTAGAACAATTGAAAATTAAGCAATTAAACACGTCAAGATCTACCAATAGGCAATATGACATAGATTAAAATTTAGGAAACGAGCATAATCAGTTTAAAGAGTTTTATAAAGATTTTAAAAATTAAACCAGCAAATTTAGTAAATTTAACCAAAACATTTAATGTATAAAATATTAACTAATAAGTAAAAAAGTAAGAGATTGTTTTCCTATAATGTTAAAATAATTCTTCGCATTTATCATGTTCTTTATTGTTTTTATGATAACTAATTGCAGTAGTAAAAAATATCCGGGCATGGCAGAAACCTACGGGTGCCTACTAAAAATTCTGCCAAATAGGCGTCAGAACTATAGGTCTTCGGGCCTACTCCCGGACATAAAAGCGCCATACGAAAAAAAAAAAAGTAGTAAAAGATCATTTTCTAATTTAAAATACCTACATCAAAAATAGGTTAGAATCATTATTTTTATTATTGATTTAAGTCTCAAACTTAAGATTAATTAGTTTGACAATTTAAATGCCTGTTGAAGTGTTAAAAAATGATATTTTTTTCTTTCAGCGGATAACAAATGTTTTTTTCTGTAAAGTTACAGTCTAAATCAGCTTAATTTATATAAAAGATTCATGAAAGTTTCGATACCTATACTGGTCAATTGATTAAATACTAATTATTGATAGGTGGGATATTCATTATATGCTGCTATACTGTCGATTAATGAAACAATTTGGCAAATCTAGATATGGGCAACATATATTTTTTCTATAGTCATACCTAGGCGTGAGTAGCAAGATTGCAAGAACAGTTTATTATAGAAGATCGTAATATCGATATTTGCATAAATAACTCAGTTTCCACCCTTGCCACATCGTTATAGTTTATTTTGTTATAGACTTATTGAATTAATAATATTAAATTTTTCAATATTCAATACCTATTTTAGTATTTTATTTATTCGAATTATTTTAATTATTTTATAGGTATTTTGAATTTTTAAATTTTTGGCTTTTTATTATGCTTATCTAATACTTAAACAACTATACGAGAATAAAATAATAGGTACCTTTTTGTAAAATTATAGTGATTAATATTAATTATAACCTATAGGCTTATAGTTAATGCTTAATAATTAATATAGTAGGTGATTATCATTTATCAATGGGTAGTACCTACGATCTACTGCAGTAAATAATATTTGAATATTTGAGTGTTTCACTTTATCTATATGTACTAACAACGAAAAATAAAACAGTATTATACTGTATGCAGTATTACATTACACTTTAGTCCATAGAGTAAACTGTAAAATCAGTAAAAAGTACCTATAAACTATTCTAAAGGATGTTTCATAAAGAACGCAGTTTTTAATTTTGCTATAAATCAACTTTATTTTATAAGAAATACATAATAAATTATATACATATTGGTTCACACTTCACCACGAGTCGAGTTTAAGTGTGAAAAACTTGATATTGTGCATATGATCCCCTCTTATCGCTCGGCAAACAATGACTCTGTCAAGTGTCAATGCAATTACTAATCAAATATTCAGACTTGCCCATTAAATTCAATGATAACTCTAGAATTTTTTGCTTAAGATTCAATGAAGTTCATGACTTGTTTGTATAAAACAATGATTTAATGAAACTCCTAAGGAAGAAGTCACATAAAGTAAATCACACCTTAGTGGCTACTGTTGGTCGCTACAGAAAGAAATGAATCAGCTATCAATTTTTTCAGGGAATAAAAGTGTAACAGGGAGCATCGTTTTGCTGGAACCACATTTCTTAGTGTTCATGTCATCCAGAAAAGGCTAGACGTAAAAAAAATGAGGCTTCTTTAACTATTTAACTGTTAAGAAATTAACTCATTTAGTTAAATAAGAACTTAGACCTTAAATGTATAAAAATAATAAAAAAATTTAAAGAAATATAAAAAAAGGCAGATAAGTAGGACCGCTCTTTAATACATCAGGTGTTGAATGAGGTGATTATTATGGGTATATCAAATTTAAATTCAATTGTAATAATTATAATTGTATATGAAAAACGATTCTATAACTATCATCTACGTGGTCAGCTATAAGAGTATTTTTAGTAGAAGGTTGATTAAATGTATAAAAAGTATGGGTGATAAAATACCACCTTGGAAAACTTTAGCATTAATTTTATTATACTATTTTACGTGGTAGAGCCATGGCGTAATTTGAAAGTATTAGTATGAAAGATATGATTTAATTTAATAGAAATAGTGTAGGGGAAAGAAATTTGTGGAGTTTAAAAAGGAAAGTTTCATACCAGACTCTATCAAAAGCTTGTGAAATTTCTAAAAAAGCACAGGTGTAATAGAGTTAGAATCTAATACTAAATTAGATTTATAACTAGTTGCCACAGTAAATAGTATTTTTTTTAATTATACTAAAAAAAAAAAACAAAATTCTTTAAACGATAGTTAAGATTTTAAGAATTATATAGGTTTAAATCACTCTACACTAGAATGTGATTGATGATATTATTTTACTAAAATAATTTGTTTTGAATTTTTTTTATTTTGGTTCGATAAATGGATACTTACATTGTATAATTGTTTTGTTGCCCAAAACAAATTTCTTTTTGGATAGGTAATCAATTAAATAATTATACATAATATAGTATACGGAATAACTGCGATATTGCACTTATCGGCTATCATTACAGTTCAGACGACAATAATATTGTTATAAATTATTATAATGCCGTTACCCATATGAATCGCGCACGGTCGCCCGGTGTTGCCGTGACGACGCCACCACGAGATGGGTTCAACTGTTGCGCCAGGGCTTATCGCGATTGCGACGGCGGTCACGTGCGTTTCGCCATTAGCTGGCGGCTAAGACCGCGCCGAAATTTCGCCATTTCGAGTGACGGCGATGGCGAATGGTGAAATATTCGCGTTCGGTCTAGTTTAAAAAATAAGACGTTTATATTTATGTGTTTCTTTTACCTCTCTCCCGTATATTTTATTTCCCAGTTTTCCACTGGTCGCGCTCTCATTTATAAACACTCCACAAGTATTAATATAATATGATATAATATAATATTTATTTATATGCTATTATGCATATATATATTATTATATTCATATTTGTAAAATGTGTGCTGGTACCAAGTATGTGTACATGGGTGTGCGCGTGTGTATCGTGTTATCGTCATTCGTTGTGTACGAACGCAGACTTAGAGACGGGAGCAATGCATACGAGTATGTACGACTATGTACGAGAGCCGAGAGGTTGCACAATATAATAATAATAATATTTCGTATATTATATCGTACGTTGGTTTCACGTCAACATTCCCGTCGCAGCCGCCGGCATTCCGCGCATTCCTCGACATACATATACATATTATAATACGAGGCGGAGCTCGCGCCGTAACAAAACATTTTAATACTCGTATATAATGTATATGTACGAACGTCCGGACGGCGACGATCCGAGCGAGCCATCGTCCGAGTGCATAATAATAATAATAATAATAATAATAATAATAATCGTAATACCGTGGTGATACAAAGATACACACTTATAGTGGATCGGACTCGAGATCCGGTTCTTTAGGGCCGCGCGATGAACTAAAAGAAATATTATAGGTATTGCATTAGATGTATAAGACGATATTATTACTATTATTATTAGCATCGTTGGTTATCCTAGAACAGCGAGTGCACAATATTAATATATCAAAACTTAAACATAATACAGTGACACGGTGAGACTGTATCCAGTCGAGATTCCATTATCTCAAGTCTTAGGTTTAGGTATATTATGTACTATTTAATATATATGATCAGTAGTCGGTAGTTCCTGTCACTTACTGCAGGTCTGCAGGACGAGCAATGCTCAGATGAGATCGAGAAAAATAATTAAGTTTTCGGGAAGTAGTAATAATAATACATACATACGGTTGCGTGTACACCCTACCTATCTACTTAAAAAAAAAATTCATTTAATGTTTTATTTTAATTTTACCACTATTCCGTTCATTGCGATTGAGTTTTTTTTTTATATAATTATGTTCACCGGTTCGATTTGAAAATAAAAAAACGATGCGCGTCTCTCATTCGAAAATTTTCCGACTCCCGTTCGTGGTCCGGGATTCGTAGCCCGTAGGCGACACCGTCACACCGACGCTGCGGGTACGTGCACGCTGCACGGTGAACCACTCACCACACACACACAAACACATTCACTTAGCCGCCGCACAACGATACGCCGACACCGCCGTGTGATATTATTGTTGTTGGTGTTTTTTTTTTTTTTTTTTTTTGGTAATAAAAATACGAATTTATTAATATATTATAACGATAAAGA